TCTTGCTCGACTCTAGATACGGACTTCGTATCTGTCCGAACATTGTATAAATGACGTTCACATGGAAAATTTACTTTAAAGCTGTTTAAAGCTGTTCAGTTAAACAGCTTTAATTACTAATCAGCATAGATACAATGATTTATAACCATGTGTAAAAAGGCTGCTATTTTACGGTCGCTAACTTAACACACGCGCGCACCGCACCCCACCGTCGGTACGCGAACGGTATGCAACTCATGTGTTGTGCGGCAGTAATTTGCTGTGAATCCTGTGAGAAAGTGTTTATTATAAGTCTTTGTTTTGGGGAAAATACTCCGAAAAAGATAAGAAAATTGACACGAAACAGGTAAGAAACTAAGGCTGCGACGAGTACCGATAGTCAAATACTCAAGTACTCGCACTGTTAACAACTACTCAAGTTTTTTGTAACGATTTTTTGTACTCAAATACTCTGCCGCCATTTTTTAAATATTTTTTTTGCCAGCGCCTGGCACTGTCCAGGCCGACGTTCACCCTGGAGGCAGCGCCGGAATGGTACCGCGGGTAAAAATGTTTCTCAGCTCAATCACTGTCAACTCATAACTCAGAAACTGGGACCGAATGTCCGGATTTCTGTTTGGACTCGGAGGAAAATAGATTATTCTGTCACCTTGGTTTATAAAACAGCATGTTTACTATTATTATTATTATTAGATCGGCGCCTTCAACTGCAACTCGAAGTAAAATCGCTTGAGTTTTCGGAGACGGACTTGGAATACTTCTTCTCCCGTAGTATGGTGGTGGCAAAAATAAATCGCACAAAAAAATTTAAAAAATTTAAAAAAACACACATGGCATCCGAATATTCAAATATTCGCCTGTAAGCCTGGGAGTGTATTCGAGTACCTCTACTTCTACTTCTATTCTACTACTTGTCAAAGCCTGTTCAGCATCTAGACAAGGGTGATCTTTTGCCGACGGTGGACGGCTTGTGTAAATTTGTGCCGAAATATATACATGTTTATGGTGCAAGTAAAATGATAAAAATCATAAAAATCATAAAAAAATAATGATGATGCTGTGACTATTCGCAGCTGATGGCTTCCTTGAACTGCTTCAATGTGGGCAGTTCAATGATATTTGTAGGAAGCTCATCCCAGTCTTTCATGGTGCGAGGAAAGAAGCTGTATTTGTAAGAATCGGAGGATGTACCAAGTCTGGTGAAACGAAGGTGATGTTGACACCTAATTGTAGCTCTGTCTTTCTGTGAGATGTAATCTGGAAGAGGGATGGCTATCTGGTGGTGGAGGAGCTTGTACATCATGGCTAGACGTGATTCCAGTCGTCGCTCTTGTAGAGTTGGGAGTCCGATGTTCAATCGCATAGCCGTGACGCTGTCTTCTCGGCTGTGATTCCCTGTGATGAAGCGTATCCCCCTCCTCTGAACTTTCTCAAGGCTATCTATCAGGTTTTGCCGATATGGATCCCATATAGCTGCCCCATATTCTAGTTGTGATCTGACTAGTGTTGTGTATGCCTGTTTCTTGATGGCAGATGAGCATAGCCTGAGTTTTCTCCGAATGAATCCAAGTGTTCTGTTGGCTTTGGCTGCGACTGCCTTGATGTGATGTTTCCAGCTAAGTTTTTCATGGATCTCCATCCCCAAGTAAGACTGGCTGGAAACAGCGGCGAGCACCTCATCTCCCATGGTGTAGTTAAGGATGATGGGTTTCTGCTTGCGATGAATTCTCATGCTGTAGCACTTCTTCGCATTGAATAGCATCTGCCACTTTTCAGCCCATTTGTGCAGCTTTTGAAGGTCTTTCTGTAGATCCTGGGCATCCTCATCTTTGTCGATCTTTCTGAACAGGAGGCAATCATCGGCAAAGAGCTTAATGGTTGAGCTAATGTCCTCTCCAATATCATTGATGTAAAGTAGGAACATCAGTGGCCCTAAAACTGTCCCCTGCGGCACCCCTGATTCAACATCTATGGTTTCCGATGCTGCTCCATCAACAACTACTCGTTGTGTCCGTGCAGTCAGCCAGGTCTTTATCCAGTTCTTGGTGTTGTCTCGGATGCCGTAATGATCTATTTTCCCCAGTAAGCGCTGATGTGGTACCGTGTCGAAAGCTTTGGAGAAGTCGAGTATCAGCATGTCAATCTGGTGGTGATGGTCCAGAGCCCTCGCTATTTCTTCGACTGTTATAGCAAGCTGCGACTCGGTGGAATGTTGTTTCCGAAATCCATGTTGGTAATGTTGGAGTAGAGTGTGCAATTCCAGGTGATCCATGATTGAGTGGAAGATAATATGTTCCATCAGTTTAGTTGTTACACACGTCAAGGACACTGGGCGGTAATTCACTGGGAGGCTTCTATTACCCTTTTTGTAGATGGCTACAATGTTTGCTGTGAGCCAATCGTGAGGCAAGGTTCCAGTTACATAGGATTGAGTAAAGATGACCTGAAGAACGGGAGCTATCTGTTGTGCAGCTTCTCTCAGAATGCGTATTGGTACCTGGTCTGGTCCCGGAGCTTTCCCTGGGTTTAGGTTCTCCAACAGCTTTTTGATTCCATCAGTATTAAACTCGATGCATGGCATAGATGGATGTTGACTGGTGCCCTTGGTTGGGACGTGGTTAGTATCTTTCTTTGTGAATACTGACTGATACTGCTGGTTCAGTGCTGTTGCCTTCATCTTGCTGTCTGTCGCTGGTCCGTGATCTGTTTTCAAAGTTGGTATACCATTGGCGTCTTTCTTGAGGCTGCTGATGTAAGACCAAAATTTCTTTGGTTTCTCTTTCAGTGAGTTCTCTAGAATACCCTTCACATATTCTTCATGGGATTTCCTCATCTTGGCTTTTATTGCTTTCCTGATTTCTCTGAATTTATCCCAGTCTTTCTCTAGCTCTGATTTCTTAGCTTTATTCCATGCCCTCTTCTTCTTTCTGATCATTCTCTTGATGGTACTGTTTATCCAAGGTACATGCTGCCATCATTCTTTTTGGGTATGAATTTGTCCATGGCATTGAAAACTGCATTCTTCAGCTGGCTCCAATTGTCTTCAACACCCCTTGTCATAGGCTCAGATTTAAGAAATGATTCTTTGAAGTCTTCTAGTTCTTTTCTGACTCCGTTCATGTCGCCTTTCTTATAGTGATACACAGTCCTTGGCTGTTTTCGACTATACTTGACTGCTGTGTCCATCTCAACATTTACCACATCATGGTCAGATATGCCTGGAGCTGTGTCCACTTGTTTTATCTGGTCAGGTAGGGTGGTGAAACATAAATCAAGAACGTTGCCTTCCCTTGTTGGTTTGTGCTGGACTTGAGTTAGCATGTTATCGTTTGCTGTGTCTAAGAGGAGCTGGTTAAGTTCCATGCCATACTGAGGCTTCCTTTTAATTAATCGAGTTGGTCTTCCAGTCGATATCTGGTGTGTTGAAGTCGCCTGCTAGAATTATATTAGGTAGCCTGTTCTTGGTGGTTAGCTTCTTTAGGGCTTTATCCAGTTCTTCCAGAGGCTTTGTGTCCCGATCTGTTGGTCTGTACATAGACCCGACATAGAGTGGTTGTTTTCCAGCAAAGAAGATCTTCACCCAGATCGATTCACAATCTGTTTGGAGGCTATCCTCTTCCATGCCAAGCAGGTCTTTGCGTAAGCCAATAAACACTCCTCCCCCATGTCTCTCCCTGTCTTTCCTGTAGATGTCATAGTTCCTTGGGAAGATTTCACTAGTATAGTAGCTTCCTTCCAGGTGACTTTCACAGCCACAGATGATATCTGGATCTTCCTGTTGAATGGCACCTAACAAGTCTCTTTGTTTTTTCTTACTTTTTAGCCCTCTACAGTTAATGGACAAAAGCTTTAATCGCCTATGTTTAGGTTTTGATTTTGGTTCAGAACCTGATGTTGTACTTCTATCTGTCACACTATCGTCTTCATCTGACGACATGCTTAAGTCGGACTGTGAGCTACTTTCATCTTCAGATAACACTGCAAATGAATTGTCGATGTCTAAAACCGAGTCATCACTACCAAATGATGTAGAAAAGTTAGGAAAGCCGCACAAGTGACATATCCATGCTGCACTGTTTTCCCCTAGTTTAACATACTCCTCAGGTGCTATGTTACCACACTTTATGTGAATCCATTGATCACAATCATCACACTGGAGAGCCCTGTGGGTCTTGGCAACTGGTTTGCTGCAGATCTTGCATGGAAACTTACTGGACCGGGATTACTTTCTATATCCCCTCCTAAAACCAGTAATAGCACTAACGTAACTCGATATGGCCGTGGTCGTTGGCCTGGTCTCGTTGCCTTGTCAACAATGCTCCAATAGTCTAGCTTGATACCTATGCTTGGTATTGCTTGAATGAGTGTCAAGCTTGAATTGATATCTGTGTTAGTATTACAGTTATATGTAGCTGTAGATCTACCTCCATTTTGCAGGTGAATGATAACTGTCACAGCTAGAAGCGTGTACAGGATTGGTAACCATGAAGTTTTTCCCTTCATCATGCAAGTTACGACGTATTGAAAAAGACAAAGGAAAATTGCTACCTTACTTTGCTGCCGGAGGATGGATGTTTACTTCTCTACTTCTTTCCACTCAATATCATGATAAATATCCACATCAACATCTGATTTCACATGCTAGAAGCCGATCTGATATGACGCGATGTTTGGCGCGATGTTTGTCACATGGGCGGCGCCATCTTGGACTCCCGTGGTAATTCCGTTGTTCCAGTGACTTGACAAAAACACATTAAAATCCTCCAAATTTACTTGAAATCCGCAAATCAGTGACTGAAAGTGATTGATAATGGAAGCTTATTTATTATATCTGATTATATTGACAAAAATCGGTCCAGAAATCTGAAGAAACTACAAATTTTAGAGAGCTAAATGCAAGCGCGTCCACCACCGTCAGTGAACACCTTAACCTTACACGGTTATGCACAGCCTTAGTACACACTCGATGACAATGATTGATGATTATTTCACGCCTGACGAGAAGGCAAAACATTTTTATCAAGTATTGTTTCATTCACAGATAACATGGCGAAGAAGCAAGGAATTGATTGTTGGACGTCTTTCTCAAGTTCAGATGGAAACGGAGAGGGAGATCTTCAGTCATCACATGAACATGATGATGAAGGTAAGGAGTGTTTCAATGTGTTGTACTGTATTTGGTAATGTTTCTGATGACTTATGACAATATAAGTTCAGTATATGCTCCCTCTCATCTACATGTATCTCAAAGTAATTGCTCTGTGAGTGCGATTTGTTTTTTTTTTGTGTTGCTGTGAGACTGAAATTTGTTTTCACTCGCTAAGTATAACGTTACACATCAGAATTACAAAGGTGTGAAGAGTATCGACCTAATTGACATCTGAATTTTTTTTTAAACGTTTAAAGTAGATATTCATTGATTTAAAAAACTAACTTTATTTTCATTATTGAAAAGTTGAAACTTTGATTCGACAAGGTTATCAAATTCAATGCTTGGAAACATTCGAAGTAATGATTATTATAAATTACAGAATGCTTAAATACAGCCCCGGCATAGCACCTGATGAGCTCTCCGAGCGCTGCTGAGATGTGTGAGATCACAGTATGGACATGACTTGCACAAGCAGACGATGTCCCATGACATCTCACACATTTTCAGTGCCTGTGTTTTCATCTTCTCTGGAGTTCTTTCTCTTACTTCCCTATCGTCAGGCTAAATGTACATTGTATAATCTATTGCCTCACTCTAAACCCCGCGCATGTTTTTATTTCGATGACAAATGCAGCGATACAAAAATAAAGGAATCTGTCGCTTGTAAACAAAATAAGACGCCATTGTATATTCAGCTGCACACACCGGGTTATGTTCGGGGTTTCAAGAGGGAACAAATGCCGTCCTTAATATCATTCCGGGGGGTTTTCAATTTGAAAGTCTGGTTTCTTTGATTGTTAATTAACCCCTATCCTGTGTATTTACGAGCAAAAGATTTTAGTTATCAGAATTGGGTCATATCACCTTTTGAATGGTTTGACATGCCATTACATTTATATACACTAAACTCATTATAATTTGAGAAATAATAGCTTTGCAATTATGTTCATTCTCTATGGGATGTCGTCTGCTTGGGCAGTGTTGGTCCATATAGTGACGTCATTAAAACATCGTTATTTTTCCGGTGAATCTCTCGTATATCCCAGCTGCTATGGAGGTGTTTGTATTTGTATTTTTACAAATCACCCGATATGTAGTTGACCTAAAACTTGTACGATGGCCATCTGTTAGCTTACCAGTTTCTATTGATACATTAGTTGACATATTTGTGATCTTCTTTGAATTTCACCTTTAAAAGTAACTGGACCTTATAAATGGTACCTCTAGTACATGAATTGTGCAAAAACAGGAAGCGATAGTAAAAGATTGCGACTGAGGAGATCCCTCACACCTTTAGATAAAATAGTAAAGAAAGCTCTCTCTCAAAACTCAAAAGAAAAGAAAAATGATAAGGATATTGATAATATACAGATAATTTCATCTCTGCACTGATTTAAAGCCCCACTACACTACTTAAAGCTACAGTGTACTTGCCCCCTCTATATAGCAAACAATGCCTAATCGGTGACCATTGGTCCCTCATGGTCCCCTATTCTTATGTTAATTGAGAGCTGATTTGGTGAGATAACCACCTGTCAGTGACCATGCAGGGAGGTCTAATCCCACCTGGCCAAACTAGTGCAGAGGGGCTTTTAAACAAAATATTAAAGCTATATTCAATACACTGAAAAAAAAATATTGTGATTCACGAGTGTGCAATTGAAAATTTAAAGGGATATTGCTGGCAGTTTCCATGTACAGAAGGTCATAAATCGCTGACACCAGACGTGGTGGAAATACCATTGAAGTCTCACATACAGCAAACCGTAGTCCCATCAAGAAATACCCCCTACATAGTTTCTCAAGGCGCTTCTTTATCATCTCGAGATTGCCAAATAGCCCGCTATTTCTGATTTGGGAAATAATCCCGAAATTACAAATTGCATCCTTATTAGCTCAATATTTGACCTCAAAACTTAAAAATCGACCTTGAGAAATTAGCTCGAGATGTTTTGCTCAGCGTTAGCGCATAGTGCGACTCTTCGGTTTGGTGAAGACGCACCGGACAAATAGCTGGATATTTGCCAAATAGTGGGATATTATGCAAACTATCCCTAGATATCTTGGGAGCATGGTCGTTAATCCTTACGTACCGTAATACCTATTGTTCAGTGGAGGATGAATGAATAGATCATCCCCCCTGAACAATAGGTATCAATTGCAGATTTACGCCCATGCTTGGGATTGACAATCCGGACCAAATATCCTGCTAATTGCTAATTCGGTCTGATGAAGACGCAAATTATCTGGATAGTTTGCGATCGGGATATTTTAAATAGCTGGATATTTGTCAATCTCGAGATAGTGAAGACTGGCCTTCAGCGAGTCTTTTAGTGTGGAAAATGTAAGATAATGGCTTTACCACATGAGGATGTGTGTAATAACCAGAGGCCGGTTGGTCATAAAACTGAAGGCTAATCCTGGTGGTTGACAACACTTATTATTGGGTAAACACCCAATCGGTGTCGAATTCCCCAGTGAGAGCCTACCACTATATATGCATCTTTAACTTACCGTAATTACCGTAACGTTGTATAAACCGCCCTCATGTATAAACCGCACCCCTCTTTTTCGCCCTAAAAAAGAAAAAATGACAGGTCTGTGTGAAAAAAACCCACGCGGGAAGGCCTTTCATTAACTGCGAGATGCAGCTGAATGTGTAAGATCATTGCTGTAAATTAAAAAAACCATAGGGGACCTAATGTAGGATAGAACCTTGTGGTATGCCGTGTAATAGAAGAAAAATTGGAGGAATTATTATTATAAACTACATATTGATATCAGAAAGATTACTTTCAAACCAAGATGACAGACAAATTTGAGTGTTGTTCTAGTTTCCGAGTGGTGAGTCAACACACCGATTACTGAGCTGGGAGACATTGCCAGGCATAGCGCCAGGTGGAGGGGAATAAATCGAAACTTTAACAAAAAAAAAAACAAAAAAAGAATTGTTGGTGTACCGTTTATAAACTGCACCCCCGACTTTGAATTTTTTTCGGCGGCAAAAAAGTGCGGTTTAAACACCGTTAATGACGGTATACAACCTTCATTCTCTCACCTTACACATCAAAGCATGAAGAAGAAAAAAATAAGTGAGATTTATTCAAAACAATTCAGTCCACTAGCTCAGAATCAAGAACGTTTATTAGCTGCAATACAACCTCTATTAACAGAACTCTGCATAATACATGAATATTCAAAAACACAATTTGCATATTCTTAAATAACACACACTATGAACATGACTGACAAAGAAAGCAGAAAAAATATACAGTTTCTCAGGTAGACAAAGGAACATCCCTTCACTGCTATTATGTAAAAATGTGTAGAACAGGTGTCACATGCATATTCACTTTTTACATAATAGCAGTGAAGGGATGTTCTTTTGTCTACCTGAGGAACTGTATATTTTGTCCGCTTTCTTTGTTCGACATATTCATAGTGACAAGTATCTACTTCACTCTATATTAAAATAGAAATGATAAGTCTATAGTGATCAAGAGTTTTAATGATTTTTATTTTTACATGTACAGGAAACATCCGCATCAAGGAGGAAGGAGAAGTTGGGAAGGAGACGTGTCTTTCCATTCCAGGTTCAGAAGGATTGAGATATGAGGGTCAGCTTGTAACTCAAGATGGTATGCTATAGGTTCTTGAAGGAAAATCAAACATTGATAGATGAGGGTCAGCTTGTAACTCAAGATGGTATGCTATAGGTTCTTAAAGGAAAATCAAACATTGATAGATGAGGGTCAGCTTGTAACTCAAGATGGTATGCTATAGGTTCGTAAAAGAAAATCAAACATTGATAGATGAGGGTCAGCTTGTAACTCAAGATGGTATGCTATAGGTTCTTGAAGGAAAATCAAACATTGATAGATGAGGGTCAGCTTGTAACTCAAGATGGTATGCTATAGGTTCTTGAAGGAAAATCAAACATTGATAGATGAGGGTCAGCTTGTAACTCAAGATGGTATGCTATAGGTTCTTGAAGGAAAATCAAACATTGATAGATGAGGGTCAGCTTGTAACTCAAGATGGTATGCTATAGGTTCTTGGAGGAAAATCAAACATTGATAGATGAGGGTCAGCTTGTAACTCAAGATGGTATGCTAAAGGTTCTGGAAGGAAAATCAAACATTGATAGATGAGGGTCAGCTTGTAACTCAAGATGGTATGCTATAGGTTCTTGAAGGAATATCAAACATTGATAGATGAGGGTCAGCTTGTAACTCAAGATGGTATGCTATAGGTTCTTGAAGGAAAATCAAACATTGATAGATGAGGGTCAGCTTGTAACTCAAGATGGTATGCTATAGGTTCTTGAAGGAAAATCAAACATTGATAGATGAGGGTCAGCTTGTAACTCAAGATGGTATGCTATAGGTTCTTGAAGGAATATCAAACATTGATAGATGAGGGTCAGCTTGTAACTCAAGATGGTATGCTATAGGTTCTTGAAGGAAAATCAAACATTGATAGATGAGGGTCAGCTTGTAACTCAAGATGGTATGCTAAAGGTTCTGGAAGGAAAATCAAACATTGATAGATGAGGGTCAGCTTGTAACTCAAGATGGTATGCTATAGGTTCTTGAAGGAATATCAAACATTGATAGATGAGGGTCAGCTTGTAACTCAAGATGGTATGCTATAGGTTCTTGAAGGAAAATCAAACATTGATAGATGAGGGTCAGCTTGTAACTCAAGATGGTATGCTATAGGTTCTTGAAGGAAAATCAAACATTGATAGATGAGGGTCAGCTTGTAACTCAAGATGGTATGCTATAGGTTCTTGAAGGAAAATCAAACATTGATAGATGAGGGTCAGCTTGTAACTCAAGATGGTATGCTATAGGTTCTTGAAGGAAAATCAAACATTGATAGATGAGGGTCAGCTTGTAACTCAAGATGGTATGCTATAGGTTCTTGAAGGAAAATCAAACATTGATAGATGAGGGTCAGCTCGTAACTCAAGATGGTATGCTATAGATTCTTGAAGGAAAGTCAAACATTGATAGATGAGGGTCAGCTCGTAACTCATGATAGTATGCTATAGATTCTTGAAGGAAAGTCAAACATTGATAGATGAGGGTCAGCTTGTAACTCATGATGGTATGCTATAGATTCTTGAAGGAAAATTAAACATTGATAGATGAGGGTCAGCTTGTAACTCAAGATGGTATGCTATAGATTCTTGAAGGAAAGTCAAACATTGATAGATGAGGGTCAGCTTGTAACTCATGATGGTATGCTATAGGTTCTTGAAGGAAAATCAAACATTGATAGATGAGGGTCAGCTTGTAACTCAAGATGGTATGCTATAGGTTCTTGAAGGAAAATCAAACATTGATAGATGAGGGTCAGCTTGTAACTCAAGATGGTATGCTATAGGTTCTGGAAGGAAAATCAAACATTGATAGATGAGGGTCAGCTTGTAACTCAAGATGGTATGCTATAGGTTCTTGAAGGAATATCAAACATTGATAGATGAGGGTCAGCTTGTAACTCAAGATGGTATGCTATAGGTTCTTGAAGGAAAATCAAACATTGATAGATGAGGGTCAGCTTGTAACTCAAGATGGTATGCTATAGGTTCTTGAAGGAAAATCAAACATTGATAGATGAGGGTCAGCTTGTAACTCAAGATGGTATGCTATTGGTTCTTGAAGGAAAATCAAACATTGATAGATGAGGGTCAGCTTGTAACTCAAGATGGTATGCTATAGATTCTTGAAGGAAAATCAAACATTGATAGATGAGGGTCAGCTTGTAACTCAAGATGGTATGCTATTGGTTCTTGAAGGAAAATCAAACATTGATAGATGAGGGTCAGCTTGTAACTCAAGATGGTATGCTATTGGTTCTTGAAGGAAAATCAAACATTGATAGATGAGGGTCAGCTTGTAACTCAAGATGGTATGCTATAGATTCTTGAAGGAAAATCAAACATTGATAGATGAGGGTCAGCTTGTAACTCAAGATGGTATGCTATTGGTTCTTGAAGGAAAATCAAACATTGATAGATGAGGGTCAGCTTGTAACTCAAGATGGTATGCTATAGATTCTTGAAGGAAAATCAAACATTGATAGCAAATGGCTCTGAGAGAAAGCTAACAAATTGGAAGAGTGGATTTGCGAAAGTTAAGCCTGTCCATAAGCATGTAATTTGGTAGTCATGACCGTGTACATGTGTATCCGACCGTATGTCTGGACGTGTACACCGTCATTTTATATAAATCACAATCTAATTGGATACATCTATTCTATGCATATTCTTTTCCCTCTGTTTCCTAATTGCTACATTGACATTCAATTCTTGTGAGTTATTTGGCATATCATATTTTATTTGGTTATAAAATGTATTATTCTCATTGATGCCAATAATAGGTAACCGGATCAAATTTTTCTTCTCAGATAATATGAAAATATCTTTACTTTGTTCATAACAGGTCTGGTCTTCACCATCAAACGAGAAGTTGACACAGACATGTTTGCATCCCTCTCAAGTACAGAAGGACAAGACCCATCGACTGAACAAGGTATCATGAAGTTATCAAGAGAATTCTATTGTACAATGACGCTCAGGGTGGTCAACAACAACAACAACAAAAAAAATCAAAAATGTTACCGGTAAATTGGAACATGAAAGGAGAATTTACTGATGCATGTATTGCATGAAGTCCAATATGGCTGGGCTCTAGGGTTTAAAGATGCACTCGGGTGCAATGTGATCCTTATTTTGAAGCATTTCAAACAAATGTTGTACCTCATATTATTGAATGATTTTGGGAATGAACATTAATCTGTTAATGAATTTGTTAAAACCCCTTGTGGACCCAACAAGGAAGTAAATTAGTTAAGAATTAAGATACAGTGTAGGTATTAACTACCAGGGTATCGTTCCACAAAACCGTCAACATTACAAGTTCACTAACATCCTATTGAAATACATGTATGTGTTAAATGCAATACACGCATTTCGATGGGTTGTCTACAAACCTCTACTTATTACAGTTTTGTGAAACGTCCTGTTTTCTGTTTTGAATGAATTAGTAATTAAATGTCGTTCAAGGTCATGTTTTAGATGTATTTAGTAAGAATTTTAGGTTGAAGATGTGGACTCTGGTACCCTCTGGAATATTTCAAAAAGATTGTATGCTAGGTTGATGATGACATTATTTTTTTTTAATTGACCAGGAGCCCTTTTTGTTTTTATGACACAGGATTCAGTGACAATTGCTCTCTGGTCAGTATCATACACCAACCAACCAAACTTCAATCTTGGACCGAACACTATAACTTAAATCTGATCCTTACCCTAAATCTTACCTCACCTGAAATTCAATTGCAACCTTAAAGGGATAGTTGAGTTCTTCTTTAAGACCGCAAATGCCTTCAAAGTGCATGGTTGTTGCTCTTATTCTTATTTGTGACATTCTAGTTCTCTTTTAGGACCTAAAATTGCTATGAAGGTAAATGTGTGAAATTGAGCCAATACGATCGTACCAATTCAGCTCCACTTTCAAAAAAATATGGTGACCGTTAATTAATTAATGAATTAATAATAAAAAAACATGGGCCGGCTGGTTGTAGTGGTGGTGGTTATTTTACCTGACTGCTAAGAAAGCATAAATGCTTGTTAGTAAGCAACCAGAGGACCGACAGCTTAAGGTCCTCTCCTAAAATGCATCATTATAGTATTAGAGGTCGGCTCTTGTCTTGGATCTGTGACTTCTTCAAAGGACGCACCCAACAAGTGGCACTTGAAGAAGTTAAAAGCATCTCAAAAATCGTATCTTCCGGAGTGCCCCAGGGGCAATGTCCTCGAGCCTCTGCTGTTTTTGGTCTTCATCAACGACCTCCCTGACTGCGTTTCATCATCGATTCGCCTCTTCGCCGACGATGCTCTTTTGTACCGATCCATCAAGACCCAGGATGACACTGAAGCTCTACATCAAGATCTTACCAATATCCAGGAATGGGAGCGCAAGTGGCTCATATCCTTCAATACTGAGAAGTGTGAGGTGCTGAAGATCGATCTCCAGCAAGCGTAAACACATCATCGCTGCAACCCCTTACTTGTGACAGCACTTCGCACTGTGGATGAGGCAAAGTACTTAGGCGTCACTGTCCATCGAAATCTAACGTGGAAACCTCATGTCAACAATATTTGCAAGAGGAGCAACAGCACTCTTTGTTTCCTCCGACGTAACCTAAGAAAATGTTCATGAATTAAAGAGCAAGCCTACAAGACATATGTCAGACCGACCCTGGAGTACTCCTCTACAGTATGGGACCCACACACCATTGAACTCACATCTCAAATAGAAATGGTTCAACGGAGAACTGCCCGTTTTGTAACATCTGATTATGGCAAACAGAGCAGCGTCACCACGATGCTTCAGAAGCTCCAATGGCAGACTCTCTCCGAACGAAGAGCCCACAGCAAGGTCATCATGCTGTATAGAATTATGAATGGCCTTATAGCCATTCCTGTGGCTCAACCCTACCTTCATCCATCTTCTGAAAGAATAAGGGGACATCACGTACAGTTCAGACAACAGCACTGTAGTATCTCTGCCTACCAACCCTGCTACTTTCCAAGTGTGGTCCGTCTTTGGAATGTTCTCCCATCTGCAGCGGTGTCGGCCCCGTCTATCAAGGTTTTCAAGTGCCGCCTCTCTTCAGTCACTCTTCGATAAGTGACAGATGCTGTTTTTACTTTGTCCGTCACTGCACTTCCCTTGCACGTGTTCCTGCGACCGCCCTTTTTCTGCACAAAGTACGACAATACTCTATAAGAGGGATACACTCAAATGGAAGAAGAAGAAGAAGAAGAAGAAGAAGAAGAGGGACCTGGTAATGAGGATTAATGCCTTACCAAAGGGCCCTAGCGCATTTGTGCATATTCTAACCAACACAAAAAACAGGGGAAAAAAGCCAACATCGGCATTGGCTGGAATAAAACAAATAAGGCGCTATTTCGTTTTTTCAACGGCTGGTTCAAATTATCGAATATTTGTGTCCCACCAAAAATATAAGAATTTGTTATATTTATGGATATTTCAGCCGTCTCTGCACCGATTTTGATCAACGAAAGATTTAAATTGTATGTTCTTTCAAAATTTGACACTCACGTTTTCATTATCTCACAAAAAAAATCATTTTGTGTAGCACCCTCTGCAACAGAACTCAACTATCCCTTTAACCCTAATCCAGAGCCTGGAGTAATTGATGTGGGAGCATATGTCAGACCACCCCATTTAATCACTCTCAGTAACTTTAAATTTGTTAACTGATTTATTCTTTTGTAAAAAGTTTTTTTTTTTGCCTCCGCGACAAAGTAGCCGGATGCATTATATTTCTGGTTGTCCCGTGATCGCGTTATCTCAAAAATTGATGGATTACCGCCAAACTTGGGTCATGTACATGTATGTATCTTGCAGAGCCAATGAACTGATTAGATTTTGGGGTCATGAGGTCAAGGGTCACAGGGCTTATTATGTATGCAAAAACAGCTTGTGATCGCGTTTTTCATAAGAACCGATTAATGGATTAGCGCCAAGTTTGTGTCATGTATGTATCTTGCAGAGCCAATGAACTGATTAGATTTTGGGGTCATGAGGTCAAAGGTCACGGCTTATTATGTATGCAAAAATAGCTTGTGATCTTGTTCTTCTCAAGAACCGATTGATGGATTACTATCAAACTCGGGACATGTATGCATCTTGCAGAGCCAATGAACTGATTAGATTTTAGAGTCATGAGGTCAAAGTTCAAAGGGTCTTATATGTACATGTATATGAAAAACAGCTTTTAATCACGATATTCTGAGAACCTGTTGGATAACAATCAAACTTGAATTTTTTTAATTGCTTCTGTTTTGGTTTTTAAAATCGCTCTATGGCGGAATCGAACATCTATCTATTTTTTTAAGGTAAGATTTTATTTGCATGTTGGGTGGGGGGGGGGGGGGGGGGGGGGGGGTTGGCTTGAAACAGACAAAAATATAGATGAATATTAAACTAGGCCTACCGGTATATTCAGAAGGAAGGGAACAACAACTCATAAGTAAACAGCATTTACTCTCTGTGTTCCAGTTTAATATCTTGAACATCAAGTTGCACCACAAGAATTTACATGGTCTGAAAAATAGACAAAGTGATGAAGAATAGTTCAAAATCCCTCAAATAAATAGCAATTGAACAGCTATTTAAAAGGAAATGTTGAACATTTCTTCTTGATTTCCTTTTCTTATAGAAATGGTCTCTGCCACCATAAAGCAAGAAGATGAAGAGATATTTGAACCTATTACAACTCTAAGTGAAGGAGGAGGAGAAACTGAGCAATCAATTCCTGAAGGTATTAACATTCTTTAATTTTCAAGGCAAATCAAATCCTTAAAGGAGAACTAACCCCTAAGAAAAAAAGTATTTGTTCTGAGAGATTTGTTGCATTCTTGCCCACCAACCTACCAAGATTCCCCACCAAAGTGTATGAGATTGAGAAAGGCATAAAGCAAGAATAAAAAACAGTTTCTCAGCAAGACATGGGCATCGCCATTTTCTTGATTGCATGACATACTATGCGGAGTCGTTTATCAACTAAATGTATTCAAATTTATGGATGCTTCCTTCCCAGGTGTTTGTGGTGTTGAATCATTTCATTCACCTGCTATTATCCTTTGTACTCCAAATGCCAGAACACAAATTGCATAAATAAATTGATGCTGTTCTGAGGGGGAAGGTTACGCATAAATGAATTAAATTTTTAAACTGCTATATTTTAGTGTTTTTTTAATAAATGAGTTATAATTGTTACCCTATTATATATTTGTAACCAAATGTAATTTTTACCTTCTCGGCTATGATTTTTCCTCATTGAAAAGTAAAGGTTTTGTTATTGAATTAAAACGTCTTTCCAATTAAAGTTTAGTGCATGATACATGTACAACTCTGCCTGGTACTTCACATTTTCAAGAAAATGGCTGCGCCCATGTCGTGCTAAAAGGCATTACATCATGCCAAGAAATCTTCATTAATATATCTCTTGTACACGTTCGTAAGATTAATATTGTACATCAAAAGGCAGGAATTCATCTTGTTTTTCAGAATACCTACCGGTACACTTATTCTGTTGGGTTCTGCTTTGAAGGGGAAGTCCATCCTGATATTTAAGGGGTTTTAATGAAAGTAGAAAATGAGAGAAACAAATTATTGAAAGTTTGAGCAAAATCCTATTAAAAATAGGAAATTTATGAATTTTTGAAGTTGTCATCGATGAAACACAAATTTGCTCCTTTCGAATGTGCTCTCTACAGAAAATGTTTATACTTTAATTTTCTTCAGTTATTGATGACGGTATAAGATTTCTATCATACAGTGCTTGTATAGAAACATATTTTCAATAATTTTATTAAGGGTTAATGTATGATTGATAATTTTCTAAAGGGAAAGTAATAATGTATTATTGAAGTTTCATAGTACAGGGAAAATGGGAAGAAAGCTCAAAAGATACGCCACAGATTTGCCAATTTGTGTTTGATTAATTGCACCTTCAATAATTCATAACTTTTTTATTTTTCATAATAAAAAGTAACTTTTTCTGTTGTGTGATACCTTGTTCATTGTCTTTTTCTGCTATGGTTTCAGGGCACCAGGGTCTTTTAGTGTTATTAAAATCTCTTTGCACCACGTTTGGGCTGATCCAAAAAATGTAGAGGGGGGGGGGGGGAGGGGGGAGGGGGGAGGGGGATTCCTGACTTACATGTATCTAAAGGTTTATAATTATGATTGCAGTCAGAGTTAAATCCAGGATTTTATTTAGAATCTGAGGCAAAGATAACCAATCCCTTCAATTTCGCAGTTCTCTTCCTCCTTATTCACAATATATTCTCCTAGAAAGCCTGTAGAAAGTAATTGTATGTGTGCATAGCAGGTAAAATAGCAAAAATCCACACAAGTTACAAATAAATTACAACAAATAAAGTGTACAGTGTACATGCAACTGAATATATATTATGTAAGCAAAGATTCGGTACATTGGAATTAATCACTGCCTGTTTCTGTTTTTATTTTTTCTTATTTATTGTCCAAGTTTTAACAGGAGTGTGCAGTCATACACTGTGTACATGAAAATACATAATGTTCTTAAGTCAAATTTACTTTGACTGGCACAGAAATCATTGATCATCTAATTAGACGCATTTTTCTCGGTCCCATTAAGGTCAACTTAGGCGAAAGTCAAATTTTACGCACAAACTTACGCACAAATGGGAGATCGTTTAAGTCGACGCATTTCTCTGTATCTGGACGAAATTAACTTGAGTGCGAAGTGACTGTAAACATTGAAAGTTTGAGACCATTACATGATAGTCTGCATTTAGGCAGACTGGATATGCCTGGTGATATCTCTCTACTCTACAGTGATTTGTATGCCTCCGCTACAAAGTAGCCGGAGGCATTATGTTTTCTGGTTGTCCGTACATTCGTCTGTATGTCCCATTCTCGTGATCGCGTTATCTCAAGAACCGATTGATGGATTACTGCCAAACTTGGGTCATGTATGTATCTTGCAAATTAACGAATGAAGTGAGTAGATTTTGGGGTGTCAAAGGTCACAGGGCTTATTATGTATGCAAAAACAGCTTGTGATCACACTATCATTGGTGGATGGAAAGCCATCAAACTCAAGACATGTATAGATCTTGCAGATCGAGCCAATGAACTGATTAGATGTTAGGGTCATAAGGTCAAAAGTCATGGGGCTTATTATGTATTCAAAAATAGCTTGTGATTACATTATCTTGAGAACCAATGAACCGATTAGATTTTAAGGTCAAAGGTCATGGGGCTCATTATGTATGCCTATAAATAGCTTGTGAACGCATTATCATTAGAACCGACAGATGGATTACTATCAAACTCAGGACATGTATTTATCTTGCAGAGCCATGTATATAAAAAAAAAATAGCTTCTAGTCACGATTTTCTGAGAACCTGTTATGGATTACAGTCGAAGTTCCATCTAGTTTTTCATGCATTTTACCTGAAAAAGAGATCATTCTTATGAAGTTCCTCTGCTCATGAAAACAGTGTTAAATTACACTGCAGCAAAAATAATAATTGATAGCTTAATTTGCTGATGCCATCCATTCTGTGTGCCTGGTCTTGGTCTTGTACCTGCCTGTTCTTGGTCTTGAAATCAATCTCTGTGGTCTTAGTCTTTGATTTTAAATGCCTGGCCTTGAATACAACACTGATTACAAACCTTATCATTATTATGTACCTTTAATTAAGTATTAACATCATTTGTTTCCTTTTATACACAATAAAACTGACAAATACGGGAAAATGGTAAATGACCATCACTCCTAAATTAGATATTAATACTATCGTATAACCTTTCGAATAGATGTAAGGTTTTGTGAATGAATCATGAGTATATTTGCTTATAAAACTGAACGTTAAGCTGTTTGACTTGGCCTTTTATATATAAATGATCTCTTCATGATGCTTTTTGGGAAAAGTAAATAGTTGGATGATATTAAAGAATACCGTATATTTTCATCCCCAGATAGAGAGTTGGACAATGGACAGGACAAGATACACTCACATATTACAGCATGCAGTGGAGAGAAGTCCCATCCGTGTTTACATTGCAGTAAGACATTTACTGATGAGAAGAATCTAATATTACATCAGAAAAGACACCAGGTCGAGTATGAGCTTACTCACCACCTTAGAACACATTATGGAGAGAAACCTTTCAAGTGTTCCCAGTATGATGAGGCTGTTTCTCAAAGAAGTACCCTTATTAGCCATTTAAGAACACATAGTGGAGAAAAGCCACATCGATGTCCCTATTGTGATAGAGAATTTTCTCAAAAGACCAAGCTTACTAGCCACCTTAGAACACATACAGGAAAGAAACCCTTTAAGTGTTCCCATTGTGATAAGGATTTTTCTCAACAGAATCATCTCACTCGCCACCTTATAACACATGCAGGAAAAAAACCTTTAAGTGTTCCCAGTTTGATGAGGGTGTTTCTCAAAAAAGTACACTTATTAGCCATTTAAGAACACACAGTGGAGAAAAGACTCAACGATGTTCCCATTGTGATAAAGAATTTTCTCAAAAGACCAAGCTTACTAGCCACCTTAGAACCCATATAGGTGAGAAACCCTTTAAGTGTTCCCAGTGTGATAAGTGTTTTTCTGAGAGAAGTACCCTTAAACGTCATTCAAGAACACACAGTGGAGAAAAACCTCATCAATGCTTTCAGTGTGGTAAATGTTTTTCTGAAAATAGTAGCCTTGAACGTCATTCAAGAATACACAGTGGAGAAAAGCCTCATCAATGCTCTCAGTGTGGTAAACGTTTTCCTGAAAGAAGTAACCATAAACGTCATTCAAGAATACACAGTGGAGAAAAGCCTTAACAATGCTCTCATTGTGATGAGGGTTTTCCTCATAAAACTACTCTTATTAATCATTTAAGGACACATACCGTCGGCGTTAACATGAACCGTCAAATCCGTCCACTGAATTCGAAATCTCACTTACGAGAAAAATGTGTTTGAAAGTTTTGAGATTTTCTAACAGCGCTAGTGCAATGTACGATAATTGCTATATTGATAATTTTTAGTTAGTGTGGAAGCCTGAAACCAGCTTACAATCATCATGTAAAAAATAAATCATAAGTTTGAACAATCGTCAAGTAATGATAAAAAAAAAAAACGATGATGTAAATTCGGACTACGCTTTTCCACAGAAATTGGCAAGCGGAGCGCATTCGACGGTTCATAAAGACAGAAAGTGAATACGCAAAGCATGAAACCGTTGAATGCACATAGATTCGTCAGGTTCATGCAACCGTTCTTGCTTGTTGAATACATGTGCCCAATGTGGGTCATCAAACTTTAAATATTGTACTGTCCGAGCTTACCTATTGAGTAATTTGGTATAGGCCTATTTTCACTTTTCTTTATGAGATTTAATTGATAAATGAATAATACAGGAAAAATTAGGACTTCATAAACATTTCCTAAATATTAATATTCCTTCAAATTTTGTTCCTTTAATGTCCAAGTCCACTCCAAAAATAACTTACTTTCAATAGAAGCAGAAAAATCAGACAAACATAAGAAAGTTATCAATTTTAGAAAAAGTATGTAAAACTATGGAACAATGGAAATCACTACATAAATTGCCAATTTAGTTGTGTGACGTAATGTCCTCACTATTTATCAATTGCTTTACATAGTTTTATACCATTAATTTCCCTTTTTATCCCCTAAAACTTGATTTCCCCAAGCCTTTGCCCAGATTATATGATTTGTATCATATTGCATGCATGATATTTCACAAAAATTTTCATGAACTTTGAAGAATTGATACTTTTTTCTGAATATTGTATATTCATAATTATTGAATTTTATATCAATAGTTTATCAAAATTCACATTTTTCATGATTCATCTGGAAAAAATTACTCTATATTAGTGCATCCACACACAAAAACATATTACTATCAATCTAACTTGGATGCTGGTGTGAAGAAATACGATTCGTAGGAAGAAAATAGGAAATTTATATTATCAATATAACAGAAATAATTAGTGGATAGTGAGGACATGACGTCACAGACTCATGAGTGAGTTGCCAATTTGTCTTGTGATTTTCAAAGTTTTTCACGTCATTAAAGATGAAGTTGAGCTCTGGTCATGCGATTGCATTGTGAAAGAAACGGTGTGCAATCGATCAGAAAAGGTTGATCATCTAGCATATAAGAATTTGTGTGTATTGCAAGGTTCTGGAATCATCAAAATGATAAGAAATTTGGCCAAGTCTTGGTAAAGTTACAAACACTGTACAAAGAAAGATGTATATGGGACTACAAGAATATGTGGCGTAAAAATCCTACCCACATTTTTACGATGTTACATGACATATTTAGAATATAAAGGCATTTGCTTTGAAGAGCCATGCTTTCTAGGGAACATGTCTTATCTGATGTTCTTCCACACTTGCATAATAAGAATGATAACGCTCACAAATTATTTTTCACCTCTTCCCAGAACTCAACCTTCTCTTTAAAAATGTATAACTTATTAGTTGTCCGATTTTGCTCTTTTTTTGATTGGTTTGTCTGATTTTTCTGCTTCTATTGATAGTAAGTTATTTTTGGAGTGGACTTGCCCTTTAACTTCCTTATATATTTTTTTCTGTAACAATTTTTTCTTATTAGCCCCCTCCCCCCCCCCCCCCCCCTCCATCACATCTTTAATCAAATTCATCTTTATATGGAGTTGAATTCTTATCAACAACCACTCATTGAATCATTGCATACTGCTTGGGTTTGTGTGGGATTGTATTTAGAAACAGAGTTGCTCAGGTATGTAGGCGAAATAAGAGAGTAAACTGAATGATGTACTAGTAACAGAAAAGAAAATCCTTTTGTCAACTGGCAACCAATGGAGAGAACTGAGAATGGGTGATATGGAATCATATTTTTTAGTGAATGTTAATAGGTGGGCTGCAGATTTTTGAAGTCGTTGAAGTTTTGTGACATCTTTTTTGGAAGGTTTTTTGGAAGGTCTTCAAAATAGTAATAAATCTTTGAGTGACCGTTTTTACCGTACTCATTTTCCGCAATAGACTGTTGTGTTATAAAAAACCATTGGGAAAACGGGTTTTTGAAATTTCGAATTCCAATCATAAATTTCTTGATAATCAGACAGGCGATCGGCTTGTAAAAGTCATGGGATTCCTGAATTTTATTCGCAGTTCTCTTCCTCCTTATTCACAACATATTCGCATAGAAAGCCTGTAGAAAGTAATTGTATGTGTGCATGGCAGGTGAAATAGCAAAAATCCACACAAGTTACAAATAAATTACAACAAATAAAGTGTACAGTGTACATGCAACTTAATATTGTAAGCAAAGATTTGGAACATTGGAATTAATCACTGCATGTTTCTGTTTTTGTTTTTATTTTTTCTTATGTATTGTCCAAGTTTTAACAGGAGTGTGCAGTGATACACTGTGTTCATGAAAATACATAGTGTTCTTATTTTCTGAATGTCCGCACAACAGGTTGAAGTTGAACCAAGACATTGGATGCAAATTAATATCAACTAGACTTTAATTTGTCACTTTGACGAATTAGGTGATACGTATGCTATTTATTTATCATGAAAGTGTGCCGATGATGATCTTATTATAATGTTCATAAATACGATAATGACGATATTGATGATGATGATGACCATGATTAAAAGTGGTATAGCGCCCCCTTCAGGTATTCGATAGAGAATTGTAGAATCAGGATTTCAGAAAAAGTCACCCCCATATGCTAACACGCAACCTAAGAAAATTCTGACATGTCTCCTTTAATTGAAATTTTCATTATGATGATGTCATCAAAGTGATGAATAATGTACGATGGGAATTATTTTTCGTTCGGCCGTGACGAACGAAAAAAGTTTAAAAATGAGTGTTTTGCGCGATTTTTTATGAAATGCTTATAATGGCCTGAAACGTATGCAAACAAAAATTTAAGACGATTTTAAGCAATTTTAAATTTTACGTGCACGTATGCGTACGCGCAATTTTCGCGCATTTATTGACCTGAAATTGACCGGACAGATATTGACCTTGATCATGATAAATATGAATGAGAAATGGCTTTCTGTTATGAAGATATTGTCATGAGTTGATTTTCACAAAATGGTGCCTAGATGACGTCATGATGACCTTGAGTCACTGAAAAGTCACGCAGTTCTAAGTTAGGGTATATCATCATGGCAAGATTCATGATTATGGCTTTATTCATTCTTGAGATATCCTGCGAACAAATTCATGGCAGAATAATAAATGATAAAGAAGATCTTGACGAAATCAATAGGTGATACATATACTTTGTACGTATCACCTAACTAAACCGCTGGCAAGTTCCCGAGTTATATTAGAATAGGCACAAGATATGCTTAGGTCAAATTTACTTTGACTTACACAGAAATCATTGATCATGTAATTAGACGCATTTTGCTCGGTCCCATTAAGGTCAACTTGGGCGAAAGTCAAATTTTACGCTCAAATGAGAGATCGTTTAAGTCGATGCATTTCACTGTATCTTGTCGAAATTGACTTAAATGCGAAGTTGACTGTCAACATTGAAGGTTTTACACCATTACATGATAGGCAGACTGGATACCTGGTGATATCTCTCTACTCTACAGTGATTTTTATGCCTCCGCTACAAAGTAGCCGGAGGCATTATGTTTTCTGGTTGTCCGTCCGTACGTACGTCTGTACGTCCCGTTCTTCTCAAGAACTGATTGATAGATTACCGCCAAACTTGGGTCATGTATGTATCTTGCAAAGCCAATGAAGTGAGTAGATTATTATTTTTTTTATATATTTTTTTTTAGGGGGGGGGGTCAAAGGTCACAGGGCTCGTTATGTATGCAAAAACAGCTCGTGATCACACTGTCATTGGTGGACTGATAGCCATCAAACTCAAGGCATGTATGTATCTTGCAGAGCCAATGAACTGATTAGATGTTAGGGTCATAAGGTCAAAGGTCGTGGGGCTTATTATGTATTCAAAAATAGCTTTTGATTACATTATCTTGAGAACCAATGAACCGATTAGATTTAGGGTCAAAGGTCATGGGGCTCAATATGTATGCCTATAAATAGCATGTGAACACATTATCATTAGAACCGACAGATGGATTACTATCAAACTCAGGACATGTATTTATCTTGCAGAGCCATGTATATAAAAAATAGCTTGTAATCACAATTTTCTGAGAACCTGTTAATGGATTACAGTCGAAGTTCCATCTAGTTTTTTTTATACATTTTATCCGAAAAAGAGATCATTCTTATGGAGTTCCTCTGCTCATAAAAACAGTGTAAAATTACACTGCAGCAAAAATAATAAATGATAGCTATGCTGATGCCATCCATTCTGTGTGCCTGGTCTTGGTCTTGTACCTGCCTGTTCTTGGTCTTGAAATCGAACTACGTGGTCTCTGTCTTTGTTTTGAAATGCCTGGCCTTGAATACTGTTGCTGCCGCAGGATCAAAATAACTCAACGTTGAAACGGATGTTCATTTTCTGGTGACGAATGTCTTTATTTGACTTAACGATTGTCAAAACAAAGTAACAGTGATGAACAGTGCCGTGAAAACTGTGAACACAAAAAGTATAAAATAGCACAGAATAATAAATACCGTGCGAAAGATACAAATATATGTACACAAGTAAATATACAGATTACTTGTCAATTTAAAGAGTTGATAAACCAGATAGATGTTCTTAACGAGAGTTGTTCATACAAATATGATTTGTCAAAATGAGTATAAAAAGGGTTCATGATAAAACATTTATGATATGAGCTACAAGTCTCTTACGAGAAATTTGATAAACATGCATTAAGAGCATACTAGTTAAGACTATGAATATAAAAGCAAGTTTTATATGCTACTGATTTACAGAGAATTCTTATTCATGAATAATTACTCAAACATGAAATATTCAAATGGCTTTCCATAATTTAGCGTTAGATGTAAACAATCTCACGTGTGTGGAAAACTAGCTCACTGAACGCTACTAATCACAACATGAAAAAACACTTATAATGTATCAAAATTACAAACTGATAGATCATGTAAGTAATATGAAATTGTTCTAAATACATTTCTGCCATAACATACCTCGTTGGCAGGACTTTTCCATCCTTGGGCAGCAAAATATACCTTGAAACTTTGGCGTTTCTTGAAGACCCCACAAAACACGTATTGCTTGGGCCAGGTCGTAATTCAGAAAAGCCAAGGGTCAACGCGTTCACCGAACTTATCGGCACACGGATATCAAATAATTTGTCCAACTGGAATTTTACTTAAAACGACCAACGATTTAGTTTTGACAGAATTTACTAATGTTATTCGCATTTCAATGAACATTACTTTACATTTCAGTACATAATTAATGATAATAACTTATTTCTTATGCTTGAATGCGAGTGCGTACTAAAAATGTGTTTGTAGGCCTTTTATTGACATTGACCCGCGCTAGGCATGCGCTGTAAATCTTTCTTAAGTAACAAAGAGAAATTACTTAAAGGGCGATGCACATGTAAAATAGGTGGTGCTATGAACAAAAATTAAAAATACTAATGACAAATTCTGGCGGCAGCCACACTCCCACCCAAATCATCTAACTGATTTTTCAAACAACAAAACTATCTATTTGAAACAAAACAAGGAATTGACCGACTTGCAAAATTTATAAATACAAATGGTCTTCCCCAAATTGAGAAAATATTTCTTAGAATGTCAGGGCAGGATGAAAGTCCAGGTTAGTCAAAGCCATTTGTCTGGGTAAAGGTGAATGTCAGCTATTAAAGTCAAGCTTAGTCTTCAATCGCCTTGTCGGTGCTGCGGATCAAAACTACCAGTTTGTGTACTGGCCTTTCAAGAGTTGTCCTCTTATTTACTGGCTTACCTTTTTTGTCCAAGTCTGGGGTCGCCATGAGAAGTCGCACCTTCCGGACTAGACCATCATCACTGGACATTGTTTCCATGACTCTCGCAACTCTCCAATCTGTCCGACAAATGGCTTCATCTTTCAAGAGTACTATGTCGTCTACGTGCACATTGGTCTTCTTTTCAGTCCAAGTTTTTCTTGGTTGAAGCGTGTGCAGGTACTCCTTCTGCCATCGTGTCCAGAACAACTGTGTCAAGTATTGGACTCGACGCCATCTTTTGCGGAGATAGATGTCCTCCCTTTCAAAGCTTCCAGGTGGAGGCAGTATAAGACCGGATTTCATGGTCAGAACATGATTGGGAGTCAACGGAAGAGGACCATCAGGACTTTCCAGGTTATCCACACTCAATGGACGGCTGTTTACGATAGCCATGGCCTCATAGAGAAATGTCCGTAGAGAGGAGACATTCAACTGCGTTCCGCACTGTTCCAATAATCCATTGAGAACATTGCGCACATTTCTGATTTGTCTCTCCCATACACCTCCCATATGGCTAGAGGAAGGAGGATTCATTTTGAACTCACAGTTCTGCTCCAGAAGATTGCGGGCGACATGGTCCGCATCCATCTCACGGAGAGCTTGTTTCAGTTCATGCTTGGCTCCAACAAAATTGGAGCCCTGGTCACACTGAATCCGCCTTACGTTTCCTCGAATAGCAATGAAACATCTCAGTCCGTTGATGAATGCATCGGATGACATGTCATCCAATACTTCCACATGAATGGCTCTCATTGCCATGCATGTCAGGATGAGGCCATAGCGCTTGAGCTCTTTGCGCCCTTCTTTGATTACAAATGGACCAAAACAGTCCAGACCGCAATAAGTGAAAGGGGGCGATGGCTCAAGTCGTTCACATGGAAGGTCAGCCATCTTCTGTCCACCCAACTTGCCTCTTAGTCTAATGCAATGGGTGCATGTGCCGATCAGAGATGAGACAATGCTTCTGCAACCGATGATCCAGTATCCACTTGATCTGATTGCGTTGATGGTCATATTTCTACCTTGGTGAGAAATCTTCGCATGATAGTGAAGTGCGACAAGCATGGAAAGTCTACTACCCTTCGGAAGGATAATAGGGTGCTTAACTCCATACACCATTTCAGACCTCTTCATGCGTCCTCCCACCCGTAGGAGGTCTTGTTTGTCAAGAAATGGATCTAATTGACTCAGGCGGCTAGATTTTGACACAGCATGTTTGTCAGATTTGATTTGCTGTCTTTCATCACAGAAGGCTTCTTTCTGGACAGCATGCAGGAGATTTCTCTCAGCGACTCTTTTGATCTCAACATCATCTATGTCATGTCCCTTGCGCCTGTAACAACACCTCACTAGTACAGCTACCGCTCTAATAGCGCTGTCCAACATGGCGAAGCGGTTCAACCTATCTTCAAATGACGTAAAGGTTGAAATCTTGGTCTTTGACATTACTGTATGTACTGTCGAAGACTTCACTTCAACGTCGTCAGGAGAAACCTCTAGTGTGACATCTTGCTTAGCAACTTCACTTTCCCAAAGGAAGTCTGGTCCTCCTAACCAGTTTGACGAAAGAAGTTCCTCTGTTGTCAGTCCACGTGATGCGTAGTCAGCTGGATTATCACCGCTAGTAACATAATTCCACTGACTACAACTTGTGGTTCTCAGAATACAATCCACTCTGTTCGCAACGAACATGTGGAAGCGCTTAGACTGGTTGTACAGGTAACCCAGAACAACCTTGGAGTCGGTCCAGAAGATATTCTTGACTGAGCTGTAGTCTAGCTCCTTATTCAGTATTTTTGCAACCTTGGCAGATAAGGTTGCTGCCTGAAGCTCCAGTCTGGGGACGGTAGACTGCTTGAGCGGTGCTACTCTCGCCTTTGCCATGGCAAGAGAGCAGTGGACTTGTCCCCTTTGATTTCGTAATCTGACATATGAACATTGTCCATATCCAGATAATGAGGCATCTGAGAAGTGGTGCAATTCCACTTCCTCAGCCTCTCCGAAATCTTTGGGCTGGAAGCAGCGAGGAATCTTTGCAGTTTCTAGCTTCAGGATCTCCTGTCTCCATATTTCCCATCTTGTCCGAAGATAGTCAGGAACGGGATGATCCCAATCCATCTTTTGTTTGCACATTTCCTGCAGAATCATTCTGCCAGCAAGGACAACTGGTGCAATGAGACCAAGGGGATCATATACAGACGCAACTGTAGCTAGAATACCTCGTCGAGTGAGGGGTTGATCCTTCAGAGTAAGTCGGAAGCAGAACTCATCAGAACTGACGCACCACTGAAGCCCAAGAGCTCTTTCGATTGGTGAGGTTTGTTCACCTAGCTGAACACTTGCATTCGTGACAGTGGCACGTTCCGATTTTGGAATGGTGCTGGTTACGTCCTTGCTATTGCACACAAATTTGTGCAGACGTAGATTGCCTTTAGCACACATTTGAGTTGCGTCCTTGATTAGCACAGCTGCTTCCTGTTCAGAAGACATGCTTTTTAGGCCATCATCGACATAAAAGTTCCTCTTGAGGAAGTTGGCTGCACGGTCACCGAGTTTCTTGTGGTCCTCCGCAATCTGTTTTAAGCCAAAGTTGGCACAGCCCGGAGATGAGGTTGCCCCAAAGAGGTGGACCTTCATCCTATGATCTACTGGGGTCTTGGAGAGATCCCCATCCTCCCACCACAAGAAACGCAGATAGTTTTGATGTGGATCTGCAACCTTAAACTGGTGGTACATCTTCTCCACATCGCACATGAATGCCACAGGACCTTGGCGAAATCTCAACAGGACACCGATGAGAGGATTAATCAAGTCAGGGCCTTGCAGGAGATGGTCATTGAGGCTTGTCCCAAGATACCTGGCGCTACAATCGAATACAACCCTGACCTTGCCAGGCTTCTTAGGGTGATATACCCCATGGTGAGGAATATACCACAAGCCTTTGTCACTACTATCACCGACCATCTCTGCATCACCGCGTGCCAAGATCTCCTTCATGAATACCTTGTAGTGACTGTGATATTCAGGTTTCTTCAGGAACTGTTTCTTGAGACCTGCTAATCGACCCAAAGCAGCCTGTCGATTGTTCGGAAGAGATGGCGGTCCTTTCTTGAATGGAAGAGGCATCTCATAGAACCCATCCTCTCTCTGGCGTAAACCTTCGGTGACAACTTGAATGAATTTTTTGTCATTTTGTGACATTGCATCAGCTTGTTCAGCTTCTTGGAAGTCCCTTTCCATGAGCTGAAGGAAATCCGATGCAGTCGCTTCCTTTAAGGGAGACTGGTAAGCGAATGTCACCTTCTTGATATCGATCGGGGCCTCTACCTTCATGCTGACTGTCCTGTATGTGTGGCCAAACGAATCGAAGCTGTTGGACAAGTCAGACTGACCTCCAACAATACTCCAACCAAGGTCTGTTTGGACAGCATACGGCTCACCATTTTGGCCTCGGACTGACGTCAGAGGAGCAAGGGCCTGTGCACAATTGTAGCGCTATCATATCCTGCACACACACGAGATGAGGCCACTTGGAGGCAGTTTCTGGAGTCGGGATATGACTGTCGTCCAGAGGGATAGACTGCCTAGTAAATGTGGAGGGTAGACGAATTTTCTCCGAGGAATAAAAACCTCTGACACGAAGATTGTCATACTTGAAGGTTGAGATCGATATCTCATCTGTCAAAGTTGTCAACGACAATGTGGCAGGCTGGGATTGTACGTCCAGGTCTTGGCCGACATCTTCGGAAAGGAAGGTGGTGTTGGACATGGAGTCTAGTAGTGCATACACTAGAACCTCCTTGTCAGGCCTCTCTGTACTAGAAAGGTACACAGGCACAATCATTGATGTAAGGTCACTACGTTCATCGCCTTGTACTTTGTGCGTTACAGCTTGAGGATTTGAGGTCGATGCGGTTTGAGCTTCCTTCGGTTGGCTTGATGCCAAGTTGGCCTTGTTCGAATCTCTTTGGTCCTCATGAAGGCAGCTTGGATGCCTTTTACTGCACTTCTTGCAGACCAGTCTGCTTTGGCAATATTTAGACATATGGCCTTTTTCAAGACAGCCATAGCAAAGTCTTTCATTTTTGATGAAATCCTTTCTCTGGGACATGTCTTTCCGAAGGAATTCCCGACAGTCATTCAGGGAATGATTTTGTCTCTTGCACAACAGACATTGCTTCTGTGAAGTTGAGCCAGACGTAGAGAGGGTTACCCGTTTTGAGACTGCGGTTTCCTGTTTTCTCTCTCTAGTCTTGCCAACATCCACAGTGAGCAGAGGATCATTAGCAATGTCTGCTTCGTTCCCAATGAAAGAAACGAAGTCAGCAAACCTAGGATAACAAAGTCGCTCCCTTTTTGTCTGTGCCACCGAGCGATTCCATCTATGGACGATATGATCTGGTAGTCGAGCAACCATTCGGTTGATCTCTCGTATATCATCCAGAATGTTGAGATCGACAATCTCAGCCTTGGCTACCAGACACTGTTGAAGGAAGTCTGCAAACCGCTGCAGCCCATTGTGATCCTTGCTGGTTATCTTGGGCCACACATCCAACTTTGTCCGAAAGGCTTCAGCAATAGCAAATGGATTGCCAAACCTCTTTTGAAGGGTGCTCTTTGCTTGCTCAAATGCATTTTCTGACCTCAGGAGAAAGTAGCCACTGACTGCCTCCTTTGCTGGACCACCAAGATACCTTCGAAGGTAGTGAATTTTTTCACCAGGAGGGATGCCTCTTCGCTCTACCAGAGTAGTGAAAGCCGACACCCAATCTGGATATTGGAGTGGGTCTCCAGTGAATATTGGCGGCTCCGGAACGGGTAGACGACTCTGAGCCAAGGCATCAGCGAGATCTAAAACTGGTGATCTTGGCTGGAACATCGGAGCTTGGGGATCAAGCACTACTTGCGCTTGCTGTGACACGATGGAGGCTGGTTCATCAATCAATTTGCTTTCTAACTTGGGAGATGCCCTTGGGATCACATCAGTTGGATTTGGCTGATCTTCGATCTTTTTGACAACAGTTTTACCTCCACGCGAGGATGAAGAAGAGGCTGTGCTGGTTCCATCTTCTTCATCGTAGACTCTCATAATTGCTTCTTGTGCCTTGAGCTTGCCTTGTAGTCTTTCCTCTTCTAGTTGTCTTTTCAGCTCGGACATTTTGAAAACTACTTGCTTCCTCCTCATTTCTTCCTCAAGTTCCATTCTTTCGAGCTCCTTTTCCCGTTCATTTTGAAGCTTCTGGGCTGTAAGCTCTTCTTGTAATGCAGCGGCTTCTGCTGCGACTGCAACTCGTCGTGACGATCTGGAAGATGTCCTCGAGAGTCGTGATTGTGTTGAGTGCGCCAACCGAATTGATGGTTGTCTAGAAGAAGACATGTTGGATACCTTATCAATATCCGATAAGATATTACGAACAGAAATAGAAGATTCATCCATTGCCTCAATAACCTCATCATCAATGGAGTCTTCATTGAGCCTTTTTAGCTCAACAAATATCTCCTTCAAAGAATTGAGCCTAGCAGTAATGTCAAGCTTATTCACTGCTAAGCTATCACCATCAAGTAGATTGTATGATCGAATGCAAATCTATATGTTCAACAAAAAACTTACCTTGAAGGTCGTCTTCTTTATTCTGCAATGCTTTCTCTGTCAATTTGACAGGACGAGTGGAGCGGCGAAGTGTTTCAGGAGGTAAGTTAGTCGAGTCAGTAGTCAAGTTATTTTCAGTTGGTTGTTGCCCTTCCATATTGAACGATATATTTTTGAGGTAAATAAACCAACGAGAAAATCAGTATTTGAGATCAAATTTAAATAATCTTGACCGAAATTTGAAGTTTGAATTTGAATCAAAGTTTGGAAGTGAAATAGAAATGGGCGTGTGGAAGTGGGCTGGTAACAGCAAATGGCAGTAGCTGATAACAAATAGCAAAGATAACTGCTTTAACCCAAATCTCAATTCGGGCACGATAAAAACACAGCGCTACGCAGGACATACAATTCGATACATTCAAGCTTTGAAATAATAAAAATATCAAACGTAGCATAGAATTAATGATATTGTCATGAATCCAAATCAATTCCAATATCAACAAGGTAACCCGATTTCTAATCAATTTCAAATTATTATGACCTTTTGTTCCCTTGTTCTTAAAGGAAAACACTATCGGTAATCAGTTTCTTTTTAGTTTAGAAATTTTTTCAATCTTAATAAAAAAATATCCTTTCAAATGAACTTGATCATGTTATTTTGTCTCAAAATCATCTATAAGTGCACACACAAGGTTATTCTTGATGAGATGTTACATACACATAACAAATTCTGTAAACTTATCTCCACTCGTTAGATAAGTATTTTAAGAAAATTATAATCTTAGCTGAAAATTTAAATCCCAAACATCATAAGGGAATCAAGTCTTATGTTGTTTTAAATTACGTTATCCAAACAAATCAGAATAAATAGCTGTTACAATTCTGGGATACGAACCAAGACTCTGTTAGAGATCTTAAAGGTTTTAAATCTGAAATTCTCTCGAGAAGTTGATATGCAAGCCTAAATCAATCTTTAGCTTGTTTATTGCTTAAGTTTCCAAACGAGAAATTTCAATCGCATATAAATGTTCTAGTGTTCTTTCTTTGATTTCAATCTTCAATTATTTTGATGAAAATGAACCTGACATCCTTGAGCGATGATCAACCTCCAAGCCGTTTGATTGCCCGTGTCTTGCCGAGTTCCTCGTCAGCTTCCTTAGTGGCCAGGTGAGGACGAATGCAGTTCCAGACATCACATCAAATATTTGGCTTGAGTAGTTGATCCAATTATGGATTTCTCAGGTGTCATGTCCATCCGAGTTTTCACTGTTGCTGCCGCAGGATCAAAATAACTCAACGTTGAAACGGATGTTCATTTTCTGGTGACGAATGTCTTTATTTGACTTAACGATTGTCAAAACAAAGTAACAGTGATGAACAGTGCCGTGAAAACTGTGAACACAAAAAGTATAAAATAGCACAGAATAATAAATACCGTGCGAAAGATACAAATATATGTACACAAGTAAATATACAGATTACTTGTCAATTTAAAGAGTTGATAAACCAGATAGATGTTCTTAACGAGAGTTGTTCATACAAATATGATTTGTCAAAATGAGTATAAAAAGGGTTCATGATAAAACATTTATGATATGAGCTACAAGTCTCTTACGAGAAATTTGATAAACATGCATTAAGAGCATACTAGTTAAGACTATGAATATAAAAGCAAGTTTTATATGCTACTGATTTACAGAGAATTCTTATTCATGAATAATTACTCAAACATGAAATATTCAAATGGCTTTCCATAATTTAGCGTTAGATGTAAACAATCTCACGTGTGTGGAAAACTAGCTCACTGAACGCTACTAATCACAACATGAAAAAACACTTATAATGTATCAAAATTACAAACTGATAGATCATGTAAGTAATATGAAATTGTTCTAAATACATTTCTGCCATAACATACCTCGTTGGCAGGACTTTTCCATCCTTGGGCAGCAAAATATACCTTGAAACTTTGGCGTTTCTTGAAGACCCCACAAAACACGTATTGCTTGGGCCAGGTCGTAATTCAGAAAAGCCAAGGGTCAACGCGTTCACCGAACTTATCGGCACACGGATATCAAATAATTTGTCCAACTGGAATTTTACTTAAAACGACCAACGATTTAGTTTTGACAGAATTTACTAATGTTATTCGCATTTCAATGAACATTACTTTACATTTCAGTACATAATTAATGATAATAACTTATTTCTTATGCTTGAATGTATGGAACTATTTTCTCGTGCGTACTAAAAATGTGTTTGTAGGCCTTTTATTGACATTGACCCGCGCTAGGCATGCGCTGTAAATCTTTCTTAAGTAACAAAGAGAAATTACTTAAAGGGCGATGCACATGTAAAATAGGTGGTGCTATGAACAAAAATTAAAAATACTAATGACAAATTCTGGCGGCAGCCACAAATACAACACTGATTACAGACCTTATCATTATGATGTAGAGCCTTAAAAAAATAGGAATTTCATGTCATTATATAAGTGATGAAGAGTAAAGGTCCCATAAATGATCCTTGTGGCACACTTCTCATCCCAAGTCAATCAATGACTGAAAATATTGATATAGTAGATCTTAGTAGTTATTACTTGTACCTGTGCTACAATGTTTACTTTTCACTATTGGTTCTTACATTGGCATTAATTCTTGTGAGATATTGACATATGCTTTGCTTTTCAAGATCCATTTTATAATACTTTAAGGGTACTATGTCCCATTTGCAGGCCAAAATAATGAAAAGGTTCAATTCCACCGGTATTTGAAAGATAATACTAATTTAGAACTTCCCTCAAAATGCAAGGGCTTTAAAAGGTCTTTTTTGGGAAAATAACGACCATTAGTTGTCAAATCGACTTTAGTGATTGCAATTAATTTAGTAATGGTCTGATTTTCAGACCCTTGTACCGAATTGTCGTATATTTTGTGCTGCGCAAAGATTCAATAAGTTTAATTTTGGCCATTACAAGAAGTGGGTTAATGATGTAGATAAATGCCCATTTTATGTATGTTATTACTATAACAAGGGAAAAAGAAGTCAATCAGTCACTCTTTAGTGTTTGACAGTGAAGTCTAGAAAGTAAGCAGGTTTCCTAGGACACTGTTGAACGTTTAAATTTCACGGATATAGTAGGACATACGGTACATATAATTCCTGAAATATTTTACAGAATTTGGTGTTGGCTGGAAATGGGACTTTTAATTAAGTATGAACATCATTTTCTTTCATACACTAACAAAAAGGGAAAATGGTAAATGACCATCACTCCTAAATTAGATATTAATACTAATGTATAACTTTTTGAATAGATGTAAGATTTTGTGAATGAATCATAAGTGTATTTGCTTATAAAAACTGAACGTCAAGCTTATTGACTTGGCCTTCTATATAAATATTCTCTTCATGATGATTTTTCGATAAAGTAGATAGTTGGATGATATTAAAGAATACTGTATATTTTCCTCCCCAGATAGAGAGTTGGACAATGGACAGGACAAGATACACCCACATATAACAGCATGCAGTGGAGAGAAGTCTCATCTGTGTTTACATTGCAGTAAGACATTTACTGATGAGAATACTCTTATGCGACATCAGAAAACACACCAGGGCGAGTATGAGCTTACTCACCATCTTAGAACACATACTGGAGAGAAACCTTTCAAGTGTTCCCAGTGTGATAAGGGTTTTTCTCATAAAAATACTCTTGTTATTCATTTCAGAACACACAGTGGTGAAAAGCCTTATCGATGTCCGTATTGTGATAAAGGATTTTCTCAAAAGCATCATCTTACTAGCCACCTTAGAACACATACAGGAGAGAAACCTTTTAAGTGTTCCCATTGTAATAAGGGTTTTTCTCATAAAACTACTTTTATTAATCAATTAAGAACACACAGTGGTGAAAAGCCTTATCGATGTCCGTATTGTGATAAGGGCTTTTCTCAAAAGAGAAGAGTTACTAGCCACCTTAGAACACATACAGGAGAGAAACCTTTTAAGTGTTCCCATTGTAATAAGGCTTTTTCTCATAAAACTACTTTTATTAATCATTTAAGAACACACAGTGGTGAAAAGCCTTATCGATGTCCGTATTGTGATAAGGGCTTTTCTCAAAAGACCAGGGTTACTAGCCACCTTAGAACACATACAGGAGAGAAACCCTATAAGTGTTCCCAGTGTGATACAGGTTTTTCTTCAAAAAGCAACCTTATTAGACATTCAAGAATACACAGTGGAGAAAGGCCATATCAATGTTCCCATTGTAATAAGTGTTTTTCTCATAAAACTACTCTTATTATTCATATAATAGCACACAGTGGAGAAAAGCCTTATGATTATCGATGTCCGTATTATGATAAGGGCTTTTCTCAAAAGAGCAAGCTTACTATCCACCTTGGAACACATACAGGGTATAAACCCTTCAAGTGTTTCCAATGCGAGAAGGGTTTTTCTCAAAAGAATCATCTAACTAGCCACCTCAGAACACATACGGGAGAGAAACCCTTTAGGTGTTCCCAGTGTGATAAGGGTTTTTCTCAAAAGTCCAAGCTTACTATCCACCTTGGAACACATACAGGATATAAACCCTTCAAGTGTTTCCAATGCGAGAAGGGTTTTTCTCAAAAGAATCATCTAACTAGCCACCTCAGAACACATACGGGAGAGAAACCCTTTAGGTGTTCCCAGTGTGATAAGGGTTTTTCTCAAAAGTCCAAGCTTACTATCCACCTTGGAACACATACAGGATATAAACCCTTCAAGTGTTTCCAATGCGA